TCCTTAGACTAAAAATAAGGAAACATCTCCTGAGAGGTTAAGTATATGACCAAGGTCACACAGCAAATAGTGATGACATGAAGTTTCAAACCAAAGTTCGTCTATTCCCAAACCCTTGCTCTTTCCATTTTGCTTCTTCTCAGCATGAGTATATGAATGAATGAACAAAAGAATAAATGAAATCACCAACCAAAAACAAATTGTACTCTAATACCAGTTCCACATTAACTAAGTGCCTGAGGATGGGCAAATCACTTAATCAAGGTCTCTTTATTCTTACAAGTGAAATCAGGATAATGTACTAACCTACATACCTGAAAGATATTTTTTCAGGTTTTTGTGAGGATCAAACAATAATATGGAAGTGCTTTGAAGAAAAGGATGTTAACTTCAAGCTCCTATAGAAGTTGTTCAAGGATCCTAGCTATTTATGAAAGCGCAAAGTCAGCATGTGGGAAGTGGTGGGTGACAGAATGGTAGACAGAGCCTGAGAGGAAGGTTAAGAGGAACCTCACAGGAGGCAAGCAATATTCGTTCCCTGTCAAGTATAACTCCCTGGAAAAGATGTCATAGAATGGTCTCAGAGTAGCAGCAAACTCAAGAGTCATTCAGGTTAGAGTCAATAATGGGAATCAGTGAAGCTCAAAACCCCCAAAATAAGGCAATGAATTCAGGCACTAAGGTGCACACACAGCCAAGAAAAAAAGCAGCTGGTGAGGATGTGGAGAAAAGGGAACCCTAGTGCACTGTTGGTGGAAATGCAGACTGGTGCATCCGCTGTGGAAAACAGTATGGAATTTCCTAAAAAAAACTACCAATGGAACTGTCTTTTGACCCAGCAATTACACTGCTGGAAATATACCTGAACAATCTCCAAGCACAAATTCAAAATAATTTATGCACCCCCCATATTAATATCAGTGCTATTTACAATAGCCACGATTTGGAAACAGCCTAAGTATTCATCAGTAGATGAGTGGATAAAAAAAAAAGTGATACATATACACAATAGACTACTACACAACAGAAAGAAAAAACAAATTCCTACCTTTTGTGACAGCATGGACAGAACTGGCAACTATTATGCTGAGTGAAATAAGCCAGTCAGTAAAAATCAAATACCATATGATCTCACTTATAAGAGGAATCTAATGAACAAAATAAACTAGTGAATAAAATAGAAACAGAGGTATAGAATCATGGAACAGACTGACAGTTCTAACTGGAAAGGGTGAGATGGGGACTGATTGAAAGAAGGTGAAGGGATTAGTCAAAGAACATATATGAAGGCCCCATGGACATGGACAGCAGTGTGGGGCCCGATTATAGAAGTGGGGGGAAGGCTGGGTACAGTGCGATGAAGGGGGGGAGTGTGACAACTGTACTAGCATAAACAATAAAATTTTTAAAAAATGAAAGCAGGACTGAGATTTCCAGTCAAGATGGCAGCATAGGCATACATCTCTTCACACGATCACAGCAAAATTACAACTAAAATGTAGAACAACCATTGCTCAGAAATGACAGAAATTGAGTTGAATGGAAGTCTGACAACTACAGAATTAAAGAAACCACATCCATCCAGACTGGTAGGAGGGGTATAGACAAGGAACAGGCTGGTCCCACATCAATGTGTGGTGGATAAAAATTTGGAAGGAAAATCTCAGAAGCCAGGAGTCCCAGCCCCACCCTAGACCCTCCAGCACAGGGTACCAGTGCCAGGAACATAAGCTGCCATAACTTGTGGCTGCAAAAAATCAGCAGAGGTTAAGTCGGTGGAAGAAACTGCTGAAGCCCCAAGCAGTTCCTCTTAAAGACCCACACACAGACTCACCTACTCAGACTCACTCCCTCTGGGCTCCGGCACCAGGGTGGCAGCTTGAAGGGCACCAGTGGTGTGCACGGAGAGGCTGAGATCAAGGTGAACAGAGGCCATTGTACCTTTTCCAGGACTTCTTCCCATAGCCTGGTGCCTATCTAAGATTCTACCAACTGGGATAACACTGTTTGACCCACCCCAAAGATTCCCAGAAACTCCACCTCACCCAACTTACGGGCCCAACAAAGCTGTTTTTCCATATGAATGGCTGGTCTTGGCTCATGTTCACAACTTCCCAAATCCTCTCAAACATGCAGCAGCTGCCCTTAGTGAGCACTAGGCTCAGAACTATCAGCCTAGATTCACAGCTTGGCTTTGCCTGAAAGTCTCCCAGCCCAGCTCAAGTAGCAGCCATCTCAGATTGCTTTCTAACTCAGGCAGGGTGGCCCCAAGCAAAATAAAGGTTGGGGCTGATCTTGGCCTGCATCACCCAAGAAACCCCAGGGCCAGCACACCCAGTGGACAGAAATAAAAAGATCTAGTCAGAAATGAAGGATACACTAATTGAAATAAAGATCAATTTTCAGAGTAACAACAATAGAGTGCATAAAGCCAAGAATCAAATCAATGATTTGTTACATAGGGAAGTAAAAAACACAACCAATCAGAACAAGAAGAAAAGAGAATCCAAAAAGATGAGAACAATGTAAGCAGCCAGTGGGACAACTTTAAGCAATCCAACATTTGCTTCACAGGGATGTCAGAAGGAGAAGAGAAAGAAAAAGAAATCGGGAATCTATTTGAAAAAATAATGAAAGAAAACCTCCCTAATATGGTGAAGGAAATAGAGTCCCAAACAAGATGGACACAAAGAGGCTCACTCTAAGACACATCATCATTTAAATGCCCAAAGTTAAAGATATAGAGATAGGAGGGGAAGAATTGGTGAGAGGTGAGGGGATTAAGAAATACAAATATGTAACTACAGAATAGCCATGGGGACATAAAGTATAGGAAAGGGAGTAGCCAAAGAGATTACAAGTATAACCCTTGGACATGAACAGGGGTAACTGGATTGCCTGAGGGAGTTGAGGGTGCTGAGTGGAAGGAAGGGAGCAACTCTCCCCAACCAGGACAACTGTAACAGCATCATCAATAAAATATAATTTAAAAACTAATTTTAAAAATTAAATTGGAAGATACTACTGCAAAAAAAAAAAAAAAGAAGAAGAAGAGAAGAAGCAGGATTAGAGAGTCAACTGTTCACCTCTTTGCCCTCTGTCTCCTTGCAGCTTGAACTCAGTGGTCCCCAGATCTACAGCAAGCAAAAGACCACACTAGCCTACATTCATGCCTACAATTTGCACAGTAACTTGAACCAGTCTACACTTTGCTGCCCACGGTAGACTCCAAGGGAAGATACATCTGAGTGAGAAGCGGGGCCAATCGTGTCCTCAGAAAAAATGAGTCTTTGGGCAACCCCAATGGAGAGGATAAAATATGATTTAAACAGATAATTAGTCAAATTTTCCTAGCACTAACTTTTAATGTACTGAGGACACTATCTGGAGTATCCCAATTAAGGAGACTGTGGTTAGAATATGATAGGCAGTGAGAAAGTTAAGATTAAAAGTGCCAGAACTATGCATCAGGTCCAGTTTCCCAGTTACCAATAAAGACAGAAAGCTAGGGGTACATAAGCCTAAAATTTGTCACTTTAGAGAATATGGAAAAACAAGAAGTCTCATCATAACAGCATAAGTCAAGTAAAGTAAAAAGAGTATAACTTTTTTGGAGGGCAATGTGGGAATATCTTCAATTTTTAATGTTAATACAAAATAAAATTCAAAGGTAAAAACATCAAAAGTGACTATGAGATATGTCACATACCAGTACCAAGAAAATACAAAAATCATGAACATGTATGAATCCAAAAATATAGGCTTAACTTGTGTAAAGTAATATCTAAAATTACCCTGTGGGTAACAAATAAATCCAACAGACAAAATATACAAAGACATACATGATTTTTTAAAAAAGCATGAGTAATGAGTTTGAACTTGTTCAGATATCCAGAAATCCATATACAACAGAGACTATTCTTTTAAGCACATAAAAATATTGTACCTACAAAAATGCCTCAGTAAATTCCAATGAATCAATATAAAACAATTATCTTTTTTAATAATATTATATTACAAATAAATTTTTAAAGGTAGCTAAAAATATCACATTAAAAACTTTAAAAAATTTTGCTATTAAATAACACAAAGGTTAAGGAAGAAATCATAAGAAAAATTAAAATATCCATTGGACAGAAAAACAATAAAAATATTAAATATCAAAATTCCTAGCAGACAACTAAAAATATTTAAAGAGAAACCTATGCTTTTAAATTCACTTATAAGGAAATTTTAAAATTAAAAATAATTAATTATAACTAAATTCTCACTTACTGAACAATTCACAGAATCAAGCCTAAGAAGGAATTAAATAATAACGATATGGGCAGAAACTAATGAAATGGAAGGCAAAGAAAGGAGGAAAAAAGCCAATTCTTTAAAAGACCACCACGAGGTTGTGACAAGACCCTTCAAGGTAAAATAAAGAAATGCAAATGAAACCCATAATGAGAAAGGAAAAATACCAGTATATACAATAAAATTTTTTAAATAAAATGTTATGAAAAATGGTTGTTTTTAAATGTAATGTATAAATATATATAAGAAAAACAGCAAAAAGGAGTTTAAAAGAAAATCTTAATATAACATTAACCATTAAAGAAAATAAAATGGTTATCAAAGGCCCCCAATCCTAATCCAGCAATACTACCTCCCACTCCTACTCCTCACCCAACCACCCCACCTCTGCCCAAATGAAAGGAAGTAAGACAGGTACATGTGGTTTTACAGATGAAGTCTACCAAACTTTTAAGGGAGAAATAAGCCTTGCTCATACAAGGTGAACAAAATAGGAAAAGAAGAAAATCCAGATAATTGTAGTACAAGAAAAGATTACCATAGGTCCCCTTCACCTATGAACATTAAGGAAAAAAACTAAATAAAATACTGGCTAACCAAAATAAACAGTATCTTTTAAAAATAACATGATCGAATATGAGTTATACCAGGAATACGAGGATGGCTTCACTTTAGAATACACATCAAAATAGTTCACCACAAAGACTATATTTTCAGGGGTCATTTCTATAGTTCATCACTAGACAAGTTTCTCTGAATGTGTAGAGCACCCGAAACCACAAGGAGGAGGTACAATGTTCTCTTTTCAGCATGAAGCTGTGTTTTGGTGTTGCTTTTGCAACTGCCAATAGTCACTGATGATCATTTTTCTCTTCCTTTGGAAAAGTAAGAGGGAGAGAATGCAGTCTGAGTTGTAAGGGGAAAAAAAGACAGAAAAAACATAAGAAAGAAAAAAGTAGTTCACCACATTTATGGAGTACAGGAGATATTTACACAAATATCTCAAAACGTGACAGAAACATTTAATTAAGGAAAATGTCTATTTATGTCATAAATTTTAAGATAAGTTTTTTTAAAAAGCCAATAATAGAAAAATGAAGGAGATCATCAACCTTTACCTGGTTAAAGGTATACATGTATACCAAAAACTCTTGATCACATTCTCTTCAACACTGAGAAAAAGGCAAGGTTAGTTCTGTCACTGCTAATAGAGATTCTGGTAAATAAGTTAAGAAAATAAAAGTTTTAAGAATGAGAAGAGAAGAGAAAACATCATTGTATAAAGATAATGTTATCTACATAGAAAATCCAACAGAATTTAAAAACTATTTCTATTAGCTTTGCGTAGTGGCAGTATCGTAGCCAATGAGGTTTATCTGAGGCAAGATTGAAAACTATTACTATTAATATCAGTATGTCAAAGTTGCTAGATATATGATACTCTTAGAAAATATCAATAGCTCTCTTTTAATCAACTAAAAATATAATAGTCATAATAGCAAAAGCAACTATAAATTATTTCACAATTAACTTGAAGAATGCACAAGACTTGTAACAGAGAAAATGTGATACTCTATTAAAGGCTCTTAAAGAAAGACCTGAACAATGTAATCATATACCACATTTCACAGACATGACAACATAGTATTTTAGAATTCTATTTCCTCCTAAATTCAGCAGTAACTTCAAGGCAATAGCTATCAAAATAACAGTAGAAATTTAAAAAGAATTTTATTAACTCATTCTAAAATGCTTACAGAAGAATAAAGGTATGCAAAGAACTAAATAAATAAACAAGAGGTCCTTATATGAACCAATAATGAAGGTATGCCATGAACTAGAAGTATGATGAACTCAACTCTGCAGAGCAGATCCAAAATACATTTTTAATTAACATATTTCTAAAATTTTAAAGTTCCACATCAATTTTTGGTTTTAAGTTATACTTTCTAAATTAAAATGTATAGGCACAAGGCAAATGTTGAACCAAAGAGGTACTTTTGAGTCAAAATGCTTTGCTTAGACAGCAAATGTGTTTACCATCTGAAGCAGGAGTGTGAGTATTACAGATGTCAAACATTTACTATCTAATGTCATCTTGACGTATCAGATCAATATCTATTCCTAGCAAATGAAATACAATGCCATCTATGTATGCAGCTTTTTTGGAAACCCAATTTCAATCCTCCAAATGCACTGAGGGTCTATTAAATATCATCCAAGCCTGTGAAAATAACATATAAAAGGCACCAACCTTTGATTTCAGTTGACTTAGAACCTACAATTTCTTTTTGCATTGTTACTCTTTTCCTTCTCACACCATTACTATCATCCATTACTCTTTTAGAGTTCTGGGCTCCTTTGCCTCTGCCCTTTCTTCAGAAAAGAACAAAGTAAGAAATTCTGGCAGTCTGAGAAGTGGAGGCAGGTGCTAAGACTGTGTACCTATAAAACCAGTGAGTAAAGAAAAGTCTACCTGGACATCTTATAAACATGCCAAATCCATTTTTAAAGTAGTGTCTGACATGGCAATAAGCAGTGCTCCTTGGTCCTGTTGGGGCATTTACTTATCTAAATGCCCCAGCCAACCCCAAATGCATTTCAACATATCACAGCCACAACAAATAATGTAAGGAGAAAAGCAAAGAAAACAAGAGTCTTAGTTAAGGCATTTACAAGAAAGTGTTTGATCAGAGAAGAGCAGGATAGATGGAAGAGAGGGAGAAGATACAGGTGAAAAATATCCAAACCCTTGACCATCAAGTCCTCCTACACAGGCTAGATAGGGATGCCCTTTCAGAGACAAGCATCCCTTAGACCCCTGTGAGAAGCTGGCCTCACTGTTGTAAGGCCAATGGGGCATTGAATTCCTTGACAGAGAAATTATTCTGCTGAAATAAGAGCCTTCTTGTTCAGAGATTCAAGATGGTGGAGGAATAAGTTGAAGCTACACTAACCTCCTCCCAGGACCAGTCTGGAATTACAACTAAATTGTAGAGAAATCATCCTGAATAACCAATTGTACACAAGCTGGGGAGAAGCCTTACAACTAAGGACAAACTGAAAAAACAACTTCACCTCAATGAGACTAGTAGGGAATGCAGAAGAGATACAGGAGGTCTGACTGAGCTCCCATAGGTGGAGCTGAAGTTCCAGAGGGATATTTCAGTAGCCAGGGGGTTCCCTCTGAGAACCATGGGGCCTAAACCTCAAGCTAGGCTCCCCAGCCTATAGCACCAGAGTCCGAAAGGAACCCAGATAAAATCCAGCTGTGAAAACCACCAGGGTTTCTGTCTGCCAGGGATAGATGGCTGGAGAGCCTCTTAAAAGGCCAACCCACAAAATTTCATTTGTAGCCACTCACCCTGGGCTCTGGCAGAGGAAGGGCAGAGTGGACTACAGATGCTTGAGGAGAGTCTTGGGTTGTGGCTCCAAGCAGAGAACTTAAGAAACAGCTGTCAGGATCCCTATGCTGAGTCATTCCCCATGCTGCAGAAGCCATCTTTCTCAAGCAAAGCACGCCTCTCCAAGTGGCCTAAAGGGAAGCAGTGGCCCCCACCCACCCTGTGGTGCTTAAGCCTGGCTGCTGATTACAGCTTAAAGCTATATCACTGATTAACTTAACAACTACGGCAGAAAATACAAAGCAGCCACAATAAGAAGACAAAGAAACAAACCCCAAATCAAAGAACAAGACAATTCTCCAGAAGAAAGACTAGATGAAATGGAGGCAAGCAATTTATCAGATAGAGGATTTAGAGTAGTATTATAAGGATATTCAACAGCATGAAAAAAGACATAAAAACCATAAAAAGAGCAGCCAGAAGTCAAGAATGCAATATCTGAAATAAATAATACATTGGAAGGAATAAACAGTAGCTTAGATGAAGCAGAGGATTGAATCAGTGATTTGGAAGACAAGGTAGAAGAAAATACCCAGGCAGAGCAGCAAAAAGAAAAAAGAATTTGAAAAAACTGAGGGGAGTTTAAGAAATAAACATTTTGGACAACATGAAACATAACAACATCTGCATCATGGGGATACCAGGATGAGAAGAGAGAAAGCAAGGGATCCAGAACCTATTTGAAGAAATAATGACCAAACGCTTCCCTAACCTGATCAAGGAAAAACACACACAACTCCAGGAAGCTCAGAAAGTCCCAAACAAGTTGAACCCAAAGAGGTCTACACTGAGAAACATTATAATTAAAATGATAAGGTTTAGCCCTGGCAGGTGTGGCTCAGTGGATTGAGCACGGGCCTGCAAACCAAAAGATCGTGGTTCGATTCCCCATCAGGGCACATGCCTGGGTTGCAGGCCAGTTCACAGGAGGGGCCAGTTCCCAGCAGGGGAAGCATGAGAAGCAACCACACATCGATATTTCTCTCCTTCTCTCCTTCCCTTCCCTTCTAAAGATAAATAAATAAAAATTTTAAAAAATAATAAGGTTTAAAGACAAGGAGAGAATCCTAAAGCCGCTAGAGAAAAGCAGTCAGTTACCTATAAGGGAGCACCAATTAGATTGTCATCTGATTTCCCAACAGAAACATTCTAGGCCAGGTGGAAGTAGTGTGAAATATTCAAGGTGATGACAAGCAAAGACCTATAATCAAGGCTACTTCACCCAGTAAGGCTAATATTTAAAATTGAAGGAGAAATAAGGAATTTCCCAGACTTTAAAGAAAAAAATTAGAGTTTGTTAACACCAAACCAATACTGCAACAAATGTTAAAGGGCTTGCTTTAAGAAGAAGGTGAAGAAAAAGAGAAAGAAAAAAAAACAGAGGAAAATAGTCTAAGAATAAAATGGCACTAAATACATATCTATCGATAATTACCTAAAATGTAAATAGCTTAAATACTCCAACCAAGAGACACAGTGTAGCTGAATAGAAAAGAAAAAAACAAGGCCTATAAATGCTGCCTCCAGGAGACCCATCTCAAATAGAAAGATATAGACAGACTAAAAGTAAAGGGATAGAAAAAGATATTTCATGCAAATGGAAAGGAAAAAAAACTGGACTAGCAGTACTTATATCTGACAAAATAGACTTTAAAACCAAGACTATAGTCAGAAACAAAAGGCACTACATAATGATAAAGGGAACAATCCAACAAGTGGATATAACCCTAGTAAACATTTATGCACCCAACAAAAGAGCACCTAAATATGTGAAGCAAATCTTAATGAACATAAAGGGAGACACTGACAGAAATACAGTCATAAGACAGGGATTTTTAATACCCCATTTACTTCAATGAATAGATATGCCAGACAAACAATCAGAAAGTAGACAGTGGTCTTAAATGACACACTAGATCAAATGGATTTAATTGATATTTTCAGAGCATTTCACCCCAAAGCAGCAGAATGTACATACTTTTCAAATGTACATGGAACATTTTCTAAGACAGACTACATGTTAAGATACAAAACAAGTCTCAATAAATTTAAGGAGATTTAAATCATATTAAGCATCTTCTCTGATTTCAATGATAAGAAACTAGAAATCAATCACAAGAACACTTAAAAACACTCAAAGACATGGAAGCTAAATAACATGTTATTAAACAAGGAATGGGTCAACTATGAGATCAAGGAAGTAATCAAAAGCTACCTTGAAACAAATGAAAATGAGGACACACTAATCCCAAATCTGTGAGACACTGGTAAAGCAATCCTAAGAGGAAAATTCATAGCATTACAGGCCTGTCTCGAAAAACAAAAACAAGAATAAGCTCAAATAGACAATCTAATGTCACACTTAAAGGAATCTGAAAAAGAACAATAAACAAAGCCCAATGTGAAGAGAAGGAAGGAAATAATTCAGATCAGAGTAGAAATAAATGAAATAGAGTAAAAAAAGAAAAAAGATAAAAAAGATCAATGAATCCAAGAGCTGGTTCTTTGAAA